CCCAATACCTTATCACCCGAATCTCCTCCTAGAGCACCATTGTGTTATTTTTAACCAAATATCTCTCAGAGGGGCGTGGGGAGTGGCTCCTTATTTTCATCTAAAGTAACAGACAGAGAATCAGCACTTTTGAAAAAGTGCTGAAACAGAGGGGATTATGGGATGCTACAATGATCTGTTTGGTGTTTCAAGCCAAACACTTCAGAGACATGTTTTTTATATATCTGACCTATAATATATTGATGAAAAACAGTATAATAGGCAACCTTTAACATAAAGTAAGAATCATTCATTCATTTATGTTCACTGATGACGCACCATACTGTATTTATACAGATGTAGGAAATGTTGCTACTCAGAATTACTATAAGAGTTTCATGTTTAAAGGAACACTTTTTTCGCTGAATTGTTTCATTATTTATTAACTATTTTAAATCCTCTAAAATGTCCCTGAAAACACAGCTTGTTATTTTCCGGCAAAGCGGTTGTTTGATGTGTGTGTCGCTCATGCCCAGAATGTCCACTCCGACAACAGCAGAGGTCAATTATTTCAAAAGAGCTTAAACAGCAACCAATACTGTAAGTGAAACATTTTGATGATTGCCAATGGTGAATGGTGAATACCTAAAGGCTGATCAGAATGAAACTTAGTCAACAGAACAGTGACCCCCTATTGCTTGTTTAAGGTATTTCTATGTATCCATCAACCCCTTTTTGTTATCAATCTTTATAACAAACAAAAGGCATGCCTGCACGTACAGCAAGATATGCAGCCTCACACACATACATTGCAAACATACAAACACCTACAGTGCACACACGAAATAAAGCAGCAGATTAATTACAGTCTTCATCCGCTGCTTTCATTGATTTCTTTATTTCTGCTGTAATCATTACAGATGCAAGAGGTGTAGCCAGAGGAAAACAGAAAGTGAGAGGCAGAGAGAGGGTAAGAGCAGTAGAAAGGCAAAGGAAGAGGGGTTGAAGAAGCAGGACAATTGAGAGGGAGACAATTGTGTTGAGTCGTGGATGGTATGGCAGAAAGAAACAGATAAAAAGGCAATTAGGCTTTATTATTAGATATGTGAAGATGAGAAAGTATCGATAGACAGAAAAGGTAATAGAATTGTTTCTTTTGTTTTTTGCCACTGTTATTAAATCAAACTTTTATTTCTCCCTCTCCTTATTTCCCATCTTTATCTCTCTCTTCTGTCCCTTGACTCCAGCCCGATTTGTCACATCTCTAGCAAACACGCCAGCTTTTAATAAATCACCACAATTGGCAAGAACAAGGTAGTTTCTATCTGAGTTTATCTCCATTTCTTTGTATCTAGCGTCTATCATGATCTTATTACAAATGTCTCTTTCAATCTTTGCCTTTCTTTAATATGTAGAACACATTTCCCCCATTTCCTTATTCTTTTCATCTTCTCTGCCTGAGACTGAGTCACAACACAGAAACACTGTCATCACACAAGCAGAGGATTGTAACAGCAGGAAAATATGTTTGCTGTTTGGGCTGCTTGTGTTGAATCCTAATGAGCTATCACACTCTGCAGGAAAGGAGCTTTCTCAGATTCCTGTCAGGGTGATTTGACTAGAAAATAGAAAATGAGAGAACCCAGCAGCCAAAAAGGCATTTTCTGCTCTTAGCAGAGGATGGGTTATTACAGAGGATATTACAGCAGTCATACCCAGGCCCGGTGATAGATATATATCAAGCAAGCTTATGACTTGGCAGGGATTTCATTAAAATACATGACAAACACATAAACATGACATACATTTTTTGTAAATCTAATGAAATGGGGTTTGCCCCAGCCCTGTTGCGACATGTCATCACAGAGGCTCAGACATGAATTATCACAAGCAGCAGTCCTGCGTAAAAAAAAACACAAAGGGAAGAAGGGAATTAAAAGGATAAAAAAGGGAAGATTTTCCAAGTCGCTCTCTCAAATGGAGAGGTGGAGGAATCACAAACACTGAGATCTGTCACCCAGCTGATCTCAGTGGGGGCCACCATGCTCCATAACCTTGGCAACTCCCTGACCAATGGCTGGTTGGGATGAGGTTCTTACAGGACGGTGACACTGCCACACACTCAGAGAGCACAGCTGCCTACAGATCTCCTGTTGGCTGTGATTTGAGAGGGTACACAGGTGTTAGAGTGGCCTCTCTATGTTGAGAGCACACCGACACAAGCATACACACAGTGTGAGACATCTGGGGGGAGGCACACTGATGTGCTCTTGAACAACATCTTTTCCCACTCCCCATTCTATATATTGCTTGACTGCCTAATGAAGAATTAGACGGAATCTTCAGACCCTTCTACATGACTTTACATGTATTTAATAGATTAGGAAACAATGATGAGATGAAAGATTGAGGCAGGATAGAAAGAGATGAAGGAGAGAAGAGGAACAATATAGGGAGAGAAGAAGAATAGACAATAAAGATGATGTTTTCTGTGTTGGGTTACCATCAGTCTCTCTCAGCTGACTTCCCAAAGACTACTCTCTGTTGTGTTTACTATCTATCCATGGCTCCATCAATGAATCTCTCTGTCATCATTCTCACCAGTCTCTCTACTCTTCCTACATGTTCGTGTTCCTCTGTCTGCCTCGCTTTATCACCCTCTCTACTTTCCTGCATTGGTCATTATTTTCCTTCGTTCTTCCTGTCCATCAATCCATCAACGTTTTACTCCTTTTCTTCTTTTCGTTTATGTTTCCCTCTAATCCTGACTCTCATGTCGAAATAATGATACGAGCTTCGAGTAATTATGTTTTACTGTGAGAAAAAAAAAACATGACCCAACCACTTGAAGCACTATTATCATTGAAGGAGGCCTCTTTTGTAGTCACACGAATCCTGCTTTGATCTGTCTGTCTCTCTTATGAGAGTTTATTATATTCAATAGCTTTTAGCCCAACTGATTAACTCATCCAAGACTCAAAGCAACAGGAAAATAAAACATTTACGTAATAGAAAAGCTGAAATCCAACTACTTCCTGTGTCTGTTCTTATTCTCGTTAATCTCCTCCTTTCTTCATTTATTTCCTGCATTCCAACATTCCCTGTGGAAAAGTTCATTATGTTTCTTCATCTATCACTCCATCCCCCTCTCTCCTTGTTCTCCTTTCTTTTCCCTTCTCACCCATCTTCACTATCTCTCAATCTCCAGTCCTCTTTTATCCCTCGCTCCTCCATTATCCCTCTCTTTCCGACTTCTTAAACCTCCCAATGTTCCAATTCCCACTCCCCTAAAACCCATTCACCATCCATATCATCTCCCCCTCTGCTTTGTCTCAATCGTCCTCCGGAGTGCTGTGATGGCCTCACGTAGGACGAGGACCTAAACAGGTCTTGGTTGATTTACCATCGGCTCAATCTGGCAGATAGCTCTATCTAAGGAATCGGAGTAATCTTCATCATCATCATCATCATCATCATCATCATCATCATCATCATCATCATCATCACTGAAGTCATTACGGTAGATTGGTGAAAGCTTATAGGCTTGCATTATGCAGCTCCTTACTTCCAGGATAAAGATATATGTAGCAGAGGTGAATAAATGAAGGTATATTTTATCATAATTTCTGGAGACATTATGTTAAATAGGCAGACGGTGATGGGGAGACATTAAGTGATGGGCTGGTTCCAGAATGGAGTCAAGCATACAGTATGTGAGAGAAGTAAAGACATTTTCCATCATCAATAATATTATAAAACATGTATTCAAGGTGTGCTCTGGGAATAGTATCAGCAAAACCATGGCCAAGTAAGTGTCAACAGGTACAAAAATAGCTACATGCTTGCAGGTTATATTAACTAAATGTAAGTTATAATACAAGATAATTAATTGGTGTGAACTTTCCAGCTGAATGGGTCAGATCCATTTCACCATGTTTATTCAAAAGGACACATTTGAAATTTAAATCCAATAAATGGGTATTTCTTTCGAAAAAGGGAGTTTTACAAATGACAGAAAAATGCAAGAGTGCTTTTGCTGAGGCACATTTTCTCAACGCAGTATAATCCAAATATGTACATGTATGAGGTATTTGACTTTGTACATGCTAGACTGCCCTCTCTTCCTCCTCCTCTTCCTCAGCCTTGATTGCCTGTTACAAACATGCATTGGTAAAATTTGTAATCATCAATATTAGGCCAAAGGCTTCATTGTGCTGTTGAAAGCTGATCAGCAAAGAGTTAAGTTAAAAGGATAGTGAACCACTGATGCTATATTTTCGTTCTTTTTTGTATTATAAAGAAAACAAGCTTTACTATGCTTTCTTTACTGGCCTTGATTTCAGTTAGCATTGCAGGATATTTTTCAGAAACAGTGTTTTTCTTTAAGCTGCCATCATCATGCGACTTGGGAGTAATGGTAATATACAGTATAATGGGCAAGGACATGTGGGAAAAGATACATTTTCTAAAGTGATCCTTCCCATAGTGCAGCCAGAAAGTCATAGAGACAGAAAATCACTCAAACTGGCAATCCACTCAAATCTAAAATCACTCAGCATTCATCAGAGACTCTTGAGGCCTGACAGAGAGTAGCTGTCATATATTCACACAAGGACACTTACATCAGCCCAGTCAGGTGCGTGCGTGTGTGTGTATGTGTGTGTGTGTGTGTGTGTGTGTGTGTGTGTGTGTGTGTGTGTGTGTGTGTGTGTGTGTGTGTGTGTGTGTGTGTGTGTGTGTGTGTGTGTGTGTGTGGTTCTGCACTGGGATGTATGTGCCTAAGCATGCAAATGTGAAGTTTGTATTGGTTGTTTACGATTGAGTGTGAGAATATTTATATCTTAATGTGTGCCATGCACTCTCACTTATGTGCTGCCGTGTACGGGTTTAAGAGCCATTCCCCTGGTTCAGATTATTTCTGTGTTGACTAAATAAAAATCATTATCTGATCTGGCTTAATATTATAAAACCCCCACTCTGGACACATACTGTCAACACGTTACAAACAGTATACATTTAAATGGTATTATGCATTAAAAAAATCCGTACGACATTTACTGTCCCTGATATTTATTTTGATTGACATATATGATGCCTCATATTATCAGCTCCTACCATCATGCTCTGTGTCAGTAATTGACACGTTGCAGTCAAGGGGGTGCAGAGGTTAAGTTATTAAGAGCGCAAGTAATTGATACTTAATTTCATTCCTTTCTTTTGCAAGTCAGCACAACAGACAAAGCTGAGCTGTCAGAAGCTCTTAAGTTAAAAGGCCTGCCTACATCACACACACAAAGGACTGAGAAAAAAATACTTTATTTCCCTCTTGAGACCATGCCAGAAAAAATAGAGAAGATCACAGTTGAGTAAGGCATTGCCTTAAACGAAGATGCCATTATTTCAAAGAGTGACATGCGGCATGCTCGTCTTTGATATATGTGTGACACCAAGTTAATGAGATATCAAGTCTGAGGTGCAACACCTCTTAGTTTATTGAACGCCTTGATCATTGACTAGAATGGGAGAGACGCATATATTACCCTGTGACAAGACTCACCCTGCAGAATTCCCCTGGCTTAACATGTGTGTGTGTGTTAAGTGCATGCGTGTGTGTTAAGTGCATGTGTGTGCGGGTGTGTATCAATGCATGTGAGTAAATGTATTGGTGTATAAAGCATACCGCTTATAGACATGTGTTTATGTGTGCATATGAGTGCCTCCACATGCACAGGCATCTGTGTCTGTGCGTGAATATATTTATGCAAGTGATACCAGAGACAGCTAAGACACTGACCCGTTCTGACATATAATATTGTTCTGCTGCAGGGGATCGAAACTGAAAAAGAAGAAAATCCATAGTGCACAGGAGACGACGAGTAAGAGGTTTATTGTGAAAGAGAAAAAGGCCTGAGAGAAAGATCGTGAGAGGAAGAGGCAAAAACATCCTCAGGAAAAGGAGAGAGAGCATGACACTGAGGGGGGAAATATATCAAGTTCTTAACCTCACAGGAATCAAATATAGCAAAGGGACTGGATGAAAGAAGATAATCACATCCAAATAAATCAAACGGAGACACAGTACAAAATATGTCTGAGTCTGACTGACTCATGGGGTCTGTTAATAAGATCATGGCCTTCCAAATAGCCTCCGGCTTGAAAACACTATTCCAGGTACTGTTCACTGCCTTCCAAATGTATTTGTCAGTGTGAGACGAAATTATAACAGGTTTAAAGTCTATTCTCAAGGATTTGCTTTTAGGTCAAAACTTAAAAGTATGTGTTTGTGAAGTCAATTGACCTTTTGACACCTTTTTTCTCTATCCGGCCATCTTGGTAACATTCTACCTCAGCAATTTTCTCTAAAATGAATATTTTTCCAGGCACTAAATACTAAATGTGAAGGAAAATATAACCGTTAATTGAAATTAAGCTCCAATTTATAGTACTGTGTATACAATTTAATTAGTTAATTAATCATACAATGAAACATTGTAACAGTTTCACTGATGATGCCACTGCAGCAGAAGGAAAACATCAGTCTGTGTCATGCAGCTGAGAGAGGGGGACGGCATCAGTGTACCACTAGAGTGCACCCTGCAGCCTTGAAAACAACCCCGATGAGTACGGGACTCACAGAGACATAGGGAGGTGCAGAAAGGGAATATATAAGGGGTAAAAAGGAAAAAGGAAAAATATGGAGAGGGCGGTGAAGTAGGGGAAACAGAGTCAGAAGGTATATAGGAGAATTAGGTGGTGCAATAAAACAGATGCAGGATAGAAAAAAACCATCAAATCAGAAGAGACAATGTCAGAAGGAAAGGTGTGCCTCCCTCTTGTGCTCTTTGGCTGTACGGGGCTTGCTGCCACTGTCATGTAAAGTATCCATGAAAAAAAGAATCTCTCCATCCTGCTCATGAACATCCCATGATCCAGGTCTGCCTCCTGTCACTACTAGCTTCGCGCACTCTGCTGCTATTGAAAAGCAGTTCTTTTTATTTGATTTACTTATCAATGATCATTAAGTGTCAGTGGATCCTAAAAGATTCGTCCACCCTAAATAGACAGTTTACCACAAAATGAAAAATATAAATGTTCTTAAATGAAATTGTTTTAGTGTGATGCCAATTGCTTTAGAAACTGAGTGTAGATATATCTGCATTCTCTCTAATATAATGGGACTAGATGACACTTGTGATGAGTTTTTATTAGGGTAATGTAGTTCGTAAATGAAGCTACTCACAACATGATCTGAGGATTATCGTGTGTAACCAAATCACCTTTTCTGAAATGAGACATTGGTGTTGAATTTAAAATATATTTTCTGACGCTTTGAGAACCACAAGCCAAATACAATATAATGTCTTTTCTATTGTGTTTTAAAGAAGGCAGAAACCCACACCAAAACAATCTAGATAAATAAATAGGACCACGGGTAAAAGGAAAATATGTATTTGTTATGAGATAATCCCTTTTTGGTCTGATGCTGCCATGGCTACCTTACTCATCTAGCAAACTGATGCCTAACATGACCCTGACAGCGTCATGTAGTGATACTGCAGTACCATTTTAGCTGCTCGTTTTGGGAGCTGTGATGTGGCACTGATGTACTCACAGGGTGGAACTGATTATCGCCACTCTCTGTAGCCAATCAGTGGAAAAAAACAGCGAGTTTGACTTTGATCATGCTGGCCCGGCATACGGTATCCTCAGTGGTAGCAGATATCATAGCAAACCACACTGCTACCTCAAATAGTGCAATGATGACACTTTCAGCCTGTCCAGAAATGTCAACAAGTGAAACTGTGAGGACATAATCCTTCTGTACAATGTTGCTCTATGGTTCCTATTACTAAGGGCATTTCAAGACCGTCTTTTCTAAATGTAGTCACTTTGTGGGGATAATTTTATTGAAGTTCGAAGGATATAAGAATTTCCATTTAAAACAACTTAACAAAAACAAATAACTAATTGTATACTAATTTAGTTAGATCGGAGTGTTTTATCCTGCTTTTGGTGTCAAGTAGGTTATGATGAAGATTAATGTATTTTTTATTTACACATACATTTTCTTTTTAGCAATAAATGACAGATGTATTCATAATGCTGGACACCTTACTAATTAGTTATATGCACTAGATTAACACATCTGCCAACAAGCAATGTGTGTGTGAGTGAAAGTTAATAGTGGCATGCTTATATGCTGTTTTATACTGCATTTATCCCCTCGTTTTAAAAACAACACCCGCCACTTTAATCACTCCTCCCAAGACTTCCAACGCTGGCTTCAGTTCAAGTCTAATATATTCTGGAGGGAGGGGGGGTAAAGTGAGATCCTCACTGGAGGAGCGCAGAGCGATGCAAACAGAAAGCGGGATGCATGCAAATGAGATGAAGCAGTCAGGTATTTATGATGCTGGTTAATCACTGAGGGAATTAAGTATTTAACCATGCGCGCATTATCTGTGTATCGTTAACATCGTTTAGATAGATTTATCCCCTATCAACACAGACGACCCTGTAGCATGAGCTGTATATCAAAACAGTACTGAAGCTGAGCCGTGTACCATAAGGACTCACTGTAAACCAGAAGGTTATTCAATTTGCTATATGTAATAAACATAAATTAGGAGTTTTACAAGCGATTGCAATAATGCATTATGTCTCTCAACCTTACTGGCATTATTACATCACATATACTAAGTAATCCCTATGTGCAAAGCAACGTGACACTATTTACCTGCTGCCCATGTTATTCAGTGACAACAGCACTTGCATACAGTGGGTACATGCACTGTTTTATGATTGGTTTCGACATTTAGCATAATGCGCGGCAGAAATGCTCTCAAGAGAAATTGAAGAGCATGCATGCATAGTAATTCTTGCAGTGGGATCCAACCACAAGGTTCACCTTGTTTCAAGGCAAATGTCAAGTCCTACTATCAAATTAGTAAATGTCAATATGTAAGACACATTTGATTGCCTAACACCTGCTCTTTTAATTGAAGAAAATAGGTTTCATTTGAGGTTTTATTCATAACTTGAATTGAACCACTATCTGTTAGTAATACTGTATACTGTATGTTCAGAAGGCTTAATACAAGATTGAAAACTGAGGTGACTGAGAATATAAGTCAGGCATGTGGCAAGCTCAGAGACTGATGTCCTTTTGACCTTCAGGTTGATTTGATAATAAAACCAATATATTTGTGTTCCCAAGAAAGGCAAGGTCAAAAGTTGCTTGAATGTGAAATCTTTGCCCCTCCGTAATAAATAATGTATCTTATGTTTCTGCCATTCTGTACCTTGTCCGCAGTATTTCCAGACACGACATGAACTCATTGTTGTTTGAAGTTTCAAAGGCCATTTGTTAAGAGCTGATAGTTAATGAAAAAGTCCTACCTTGCGAATGCCTTCTTTTGACTCCTCAACGTTGTTTTCTCCTCCTCCAGTGCGGTTAATCATGCGCCACATCTGGGAGTACATGGGATCTCTCTCGAAGGGGTTCATAGACTTGTAGCGGACCTGATCATATACTGCTGAGTCCAACACTGTGCCATAAGGCAACTCCGTCTGCTTGGATAAGTCCTGGAGGGACCTGGCGAGAAAAGTGGTGGATAGAGTTAGTCTTTGTTTCCAGTCATCCATTCACTTTAAGCGCAATGCAGACTCTGGAAGAATGGTTAGCTTCACATCTCACATGGGGCTCACTTCATCCCCTGGGTATTATTATTGTGGTGATACTGCAGGTACTTGGTGGCTACAGTAATGGATACAGCAGTCCCCTGTTTCCAATAGAATGCTCTCTCTGCAACAAGTATCCACAATGCACTGCAAGGCTATTTCATCTACTGCAGTGATGACACTTTCTAACATGGATTTGGAGTGAATAGTCTGTCCAAGAAATAAAGAGTTGATCCTTCTGTACAAAGCCAGTCCATAGTAATCAATCAAAAATAAATATGTTTCAATGCATATTAACTCACTAGTACTTTCGAGCACTAAAATGTATTATTGTTCACAAAAGTAAGTCAAGTGACTACTTGTGATGGACTGGCTGTTTTGGGATGATGGTGTACACTGTATTGAGTTCAGAGTGCATTCAAACAGCCGACCTGAAGCCGTGCCTTGTTAAAGGACACTTCACAGGTGTTTTCATCTTCTACACATTTGTATTATCCTGGAAGCTCTACTGTGTATCTCAGCATGTATTTGAATTCTTATCCAACATTCTTAAGAGTGGATTAAATAGGATGAAATATAACAATATAATCCAAACAGTTGACACAGAGGAATAAACATAAAAACATGAAAAGCAAGTGCACATCCAATGACCTGGATGAAATCCTTCAATGTGGTGATTCCGTCTTCGCACTTCAATGTTTGCCCTTATGGGACATGGTGAATGATTGGGTCTTTGTAACTGTCTGAGTATCTCCCTGTGGAAGCTGAAAGCCCTGGACAGCGGGCAGTGGAGAGAACACACAGAGAGCTAATGAAGTGTCCAGCTGTATGTGGGCCACCCTATATTTTCCCTTAAAAGAGCGGTCTAGATCTAAACTCTTCGAATGCCAAAAGTGGGAGTTGGGGATGACATGTAATTCACATGGAATAAAAATAGAACAATGGCAATTGGCCGTGACCAACACATTTGAGAACAATGGGGTGGGAAGCAGATTAGACAGCAGCACTTACTCACAGAGCTGAACAAGATGCTTGGCTTACTGCACACAGTTTATACTTACAACTGTACAAAGACAATATCAGAGAATTAGAAATTAAGAAAAATGTAAAATAATTCACTCAGTTCTTTTTAAATCCCATCTCTCTCTCTCTCATCCTTCCTCTCTCGCTCTGCCCCTCGAACATAAATTGCCACCTCTGGGGGAATACACAAGCTATTGGTAATTATAATGCAACCGTGCCTGGGTTGCCTCTCAAAGAGTTTGGCCGCTGAGAAATGTAATAGAGAACCATTACAGGAACTAATTACTGTGTGTTTGTTAAATGGCTGCTACATACCACCCATGGATTTGGGAAACACACATTTCCACAAAAACACTCAACATGTCCTGCTTAATGAAGAACGTGTTTACAGTATGACTTAATTAATTCCCTTGTAATACAAACACAATAGCAGATTTAACATCGGGCCAAAATATAAGTAGGTTCTGTTCACATTTTAACAAGACTGCACACACAGAAACGCACACACAAAATAACATACAGACGTTTTATGGACGGTCACAGTTCCTGCAATTTCTTTCTCTCTCTGATGCCCTCCTTAACTATCTCTCTGACCCGCTCTAAAAGAAAAAAATAACTTTGAAGATTTTAATGAACTTTGCTGGGAACATGAATCTTTTATTGCTATCAATTAATCTTTGGCCTTAATAATCTCTCCGTCCCACTACTCCCCTCTGTGAATGGGTTTCACTGGGTAATAACTCTAGGTTTGTTTTTTAATGGTGTGTTCATATGTAAGCAGAGACAAGAATAAAATCTCAAATGAGTTAAGATTTTACTGAGACCAAAAGAAAATAATGAATGAGACTCACAGTGACTTAAGCTCAGTTATACTCCTACAGTGAAAAACACAATCAAAAATGTATGGTGGAACAGGTTAAAAGGGCATTCAAAAATGTATTAAATCTCCATTTCTAAACTTAGTTTTACGATTTTGGAATGTTTTATGTGAAACTAATGTGTGCATGTGATTGCCTCTTGTCCTGTGAGTATGCTGTAAGATATTTTTTTGCGAACCAATTATAATACCTATAAGTATACCAATGAGCAAGTTATGGAGTGAAAGGAAACTGAATATATATTTTTGAAACATGTTTGTTTTCATCTGTCTGTGTATCGGGTCTCTTTTAGAATATTTGGTCCTCTGGTCGTCTTCCTTAAGTCATCTTTAATTTTGCTGGACTTAATTTGGTTTATATGCCAACTGTTTGAAATAGTTTAAAAGAAAACTAGTTCAATAAAAGTATTTGTGGAGTCAAAGGATTGACTTTTTTTTTTTAATGTTTTTTGGAAGCCAAAAGACAAAGATGATCTTGGCTTTGTGATTCTGTAGGGAAATAAATTCTGATAACGGCAGTAGAGCCTTGATCAGTCCATTAGCTTTTTAACAAATTGCTGTTGAAGCACTGCAGACAGCTGTGCAACCTTGAACAGCAAGCTATGTTTGCTGACAGAAGCCAAACCAACATGGTCTTGAGAGTAGGCTTAGCTAATCTATATTTGAATTAATTGTACTAGAGAAAAGTAGGTCATATAAATGCTGGTTTCCTTATATCATTATGCATCATCATTAGGAATTCAGAAGTCTTTTTATCGGTGATCACTTTCTATACGAGATCGTTGGTCACTCCCAAGCAATGTCATAACATGTTATCACTCTTGTGCAGAAGCTAGCTAATGCACTACTGTTTAAGTGTTTAACATTATTCCATTCATTACTTTCATCATATACTGTCAAAGAGACAATGCTGTTACAATCCCGTTCTCGTTAATAGAGGGCGATAAAGTGAAAGTGTGACGGTAAATCTTGACTTCATGGCCCTTAAGAAAACATGCCAGACTTTGAATAAGCCAATGAGCCGCTGACAAGTGGAGCCACTCTGCTGTCCGAGCTCCATACTGGGATTTTACAGACATGCATGCATACATACAGAACAGTTACCAGCCATTATGAAGCTTACACGAGAACACTAACCACCTGATTGACTTTACTGGCATCATTAGCTACCGTAACATAATGAGACACCTGCTGTGAGAGATTGAGCCAGAGAGAGAAGCTTTCTATCCTCAAACACTCCATCTGTCTTTCAATCTTCCCATCCTGACCAATCGTTCCCCTCCATTGCTTTCATCTCCCAACAGTTGCCACCTCCTAACGCCTAACGTTAAAACGTCTGAAATCTATTGCTCATTCTCCTCTTCACCACTAGCTTCTCCTTTCTCTTCTTGTGTGCTTTTTTTCTTCCAATTTCTATTTACTTCACTCTATCCCTTCTAACTTTTATCTTTCGTCTCATCTTTTCTTCCACCTGCCTCCTCTCTTTATTTCCACTTTATAAAGTTTATACCGTTTTATCTCTCTCTTTGTATGTTGCTCTCTCTTTGTCCCTGCCGCCATCCCTCTCCGTTTTCCTAAAGGATTCACACTGAAATTGAGGGAAAAACATCCAAGCGTGAAATAGTCCGGAGAGGGTTCTGAATGCTCACTTGTTATTTCATTTCCAGGATGAAACAAGGGCATTAATACTTAAAAACCCTGTCTGTCCTGCCGGCTCCCTGAGACACGAAGACAGGCGATGCCTCCATCCTTCCCCTGCCTTTCTTTCCTTTCCTGTCTCTTGCTTGCTCTTTTCCATACTTCAATAATTTTCCCTTTCGCTCCCTAAACCAATTGCTCTCCTACCATCTGTGTAATATGTTAATCAAGTATTCATCAGATTAAAGTGCACGCTAATCACAACATCACAATCCTCTCTTTTTCCTCGCTTGGCTGCTCTCTTCATCTCTGCGTTGAGGTTTTGTTATGCTTTACGATTACTCTGTTTGTTTTGGGTATGTTCCTTCTCACCACTCACCCTAAAACCCATCTTTGGAGACCCAAGGCCATGCGGGTGCTGCTGTTAAGGTGGTAATTATGCCACTAATGACCCCGGAAGAGTCAACACATTAAAGATAATGCATTAAAATTTATGGAAATCCTTAATTAGCTCAATGGATGCTGAATGAGGCGGTAAACTGAGAGGCACTCACTAATGACAGCAAATTGAAGCAGAAAAAAACATCAAAAAGAGACAAAAGAAAAGTGATTTTTTTTTCCTACACACTTTTAAGGTTCTAGGAAGAAATAATTGGATAAAAGGGGGAAAAAGACCAAATGAAAAAGAGAGAGGAGTGGAAGCAAAAGTATAAAAGGAGGTATGACAAAGAAAAATAAGAGAGGGTATAAGAAAGTGACGTATGACTTGAATTCAGCGACAGATAGAGATGAGATTTAGAGAAATAAATGTTGTCTATTCCAAAGCCAAGCACAATTAACTGTGGCACTGCCGGGCATAGCGGATGCTTCAGCATGCTGATTAGTCCAATGAGAGATGAGCGTTTCCTTGTGCCACCAGGAGAGAAACAGGCAAACATATTATCTCAAGGATAGATAAACAGAGGGCACTGAGCTTAGGGAAATGATGTGTGTGAGTATTTGAAGGGGGCTGGCATACATGTTCTGCCCCGCAACTTAGGACCAAGGAGGAACATGCTGAAACACTCTCTTCTTACTTTCATAACTACTTGGCCTCATTCTCTCTCTCTGTTTCTCCATATCTTCAGTATCTACATCATTGTACACACACACACACACACACACACACACACACACACACACACACACACACACACACACACACACACACACACACACACACACACACACACACACAATGATATATCCCAACTTGAGCGAAACAGGAAATTGCTATGCTACAACGGGGTGATGAAGGAGGGGAGAAAGGAGGGAAAGGATATGGAAGTAATTTTGTGTGTGTGTGTGTGTGTGTGTGTGTGTGTGTGTGTGTGTGTGTGTGTGTGTGTGTGTGTGTGTGTGTGTGTGTGTGTGTCTCTATGCATTACACCTGCTTGTTAAAATGGATTTCAATAATCAAGCACACTGGGGGACACTGCAGAGTGTCTCAGTGTGTTAGAAACAATTTGTCATGCACGCAAAGCTACACACCAACTATGATGAATATATTTGAGCAAATGTAATTGTGTGTGTGCACAGTTAAATGCATAAATACCTTTGTTCTGGTACCTCTGTGAAGTTGTGATGTGTAACTTTAAGAAAAAACTAAATCTTGGTAATGGGTAATGGTTAAAAAGTTTTAGTTTTTGTATCACAATACCTATGTCGAAAGAACTGAGTTTTTCAGAAGGTAAAGCCACAAAAATACATTTTGAAGCTATGTGTTTGCCACAACTAACAACATTGAAGGAACATCTGTTGGATACTTACTGTATGGAGTTCTCTATGCGTGAGATGGTGAGGAATGCTGCTAGGTTGGCGGTATACGAGGAAATTACAATAAGAGCAAACATCCACCAAACGCCCATCATCATCCTTGTAGCTAGAGTAGTGTAGGGCACCTCCCCACCTAGAAAGAAAGAACGAAAGACAGTTAAACCAACACATACTCACGGACAAAAATAAATGCAAGCAATTTTAGCTGCAGGAGGAAAAGCTGTTAAAACAGCAAAGTGCATCTTGAAAGATTATGTTAGGATTAACAGATCTGAGCTGATGCTTTGGCACTGATCTCATCTACACCAAAAGTGGGAGGCATTGCAGCGCATTTAATTTTTCCTCTTCTAGAAAGACATCAAAACAACATAATCTTTGTGACATCTTACAGATCGGACAACATTTATATAGTGAGGTAAAATTGCCCTGTGCAGACTGTGTTTAAATCTTTGAAAATGTCTCAATACAAAATTACATTCAAAATCCCAGCAGGCCTAACTGTTTGGACAGAAGTTCAAACAACCTAACATACCACTGCAACAAATGTAGTTGGAAAACACCTTGAGGAATCTGAACAGAATGTGTATGATAGGATTGAATGCTGCCAGGCGAATAATACAGTAAACAGTGGCCTGTCAGTCTTCAAGTATAAAACCGGTGTTATAAAAGCTTTTGGCCTTGTCCTCTGGAATGTTTTTGTGCTACAGTGAAGAAAAACAAACTGCCCCCCCCCACCCCCCACACACCTTATCAACTGAACCTCCTCCTAGAGCAGGGGTATTCAACTAAAATTCAACGAGGTCCAGTAAGAAAAAATCTCCCCATGCAAAGGTCCGGAACATCAAAATATCTAACTTGCTTTATGAATTAGTGTGATATATATATTGAAGTAGCCTGCAGCTTTATCAACGTCTGCATGTAATCAACAACTGACTGCCAATCAAATAAAGAAAGTACAATTCATAAACAACAATATTTATTGTCAATTAACATTGAACTATACAGATATACAGTAAATACTGTGGATATGTGTAATGTTCCTCTCGGGCTGCATTTAAAATAAAATAGAGAAAATAAATAAAATAGCTTTTGAACATATGTGAAATCTTAAAAGTGCTTAATTTTAGATAAATAAAATAAAGTGTAGCAGCAGCTTGAGTTTCCCTGTTTCTTTGTTAACCATGACTTAACTGTTTCAGACGATTATAGAACAATATCAGTCTTTACACATCATAACAATTGAACAGTTTGATAGTTTCTCTTTCTTTCCCTCTTATATTGCAGTCCCTCACTCACTTTGTTTTATTCAGTGCGAGAATTGAGCTGGAGCTTGTCCTGCCGGGAGTTTAAATCTGGGCTGAACCGGTGCTCATTGGTTAGCCTCGGTTAGCCTGCCCTGGAACCATATTTAGTTTTTGTGACCTCAGTTCTGACTTGAGAGGGAATGTTTGGTCAAAACACATTGTGTTTTGTCTCATAGTGGCGTTTTGGCACTTTTAATGAGCGCCACGGTCTCTGAACAAATGAGACACACTGGTTCTGTGGGCAGGATGAACATGAATGGATGCACTTCAACCAAAACCCAGACAGTGATAAAGCGCACCATTTGTAAAGGCAAAATATCCTTTAAAGCAGGGTCAACAAATAATCTCCATCGCCACTTAAAAACACAGTATCTAATATTAAGAGTTGCATGAATTTCATTCAAGGCAAGGCAACTTTATTTACTTAACACATACAGAGGGTAAATTCAAAGTACATTCACTGACATGAATATGGCGCCACCTTGTATCATGTTTACAATGCAGATTATTGACATTAGGTCTAGCAATACAGTCAATAATTATCCTGGTGATTATTTCGCAGATAAACCTAGTAACCCCGCCCCCTTTAAAAAAACGGCTCTTTTGAACGACTCTTTTGAACGGCTCTTTGAAAGGAATGGAGCCAGAAGATCCGGCTCCCTTCAAAAAGCAATAAATCCCATCACTAGAATGGAGAAACCAGCTCGAGTGCGCTAGAATTTGAAAGTACGCAACCGAAATAAATCTGCGCCTTCCTTCAGACTTCCTTCCAGAGCCCCTCCTCCAACACACACGAACACGCACATGACCAATGAGGGCACGAGATAAGTTTGCGCACAGATGGAAGGCTGACAGGCAGGTAGGCCATCCAGTTATTTTAGCCGGGCCGGCTCAGATGATTGGTCGTGCTTTTTACAGCACCATGGCTTCCACAGATGACATTGTTTAATGTATTTATTGTCAAAGCATTTAATATATTCATTGCTATCGGGATGTTAAGAGCATTCCGTGGAATATCACAAAAAGTGTTTCCGAAGTGAATTACCTACCCCACCTTTAAGTAAGCGTGCCTAATGTACGGTTACACACAAATGCACAGAGAAATGAATAATTTGCAGCCAATGATCTCTTCCTCACTGCCTTTATTGAAGCCTGTTAGAAATGAGCCTCCTTCAGCCTTGAAGCAGGAGATCACCGTAACGTGGAGTCAGACCAACAGACAGCGCTCTCCCCTCTCCCACTTCCTCCAGACCAGACTAAATAATATATGTGATACCCATGTAATTCCATGTTCCTTTTATCTCACGCCACTTCTCTATCTGCATTGCATTTCCTTCAGTCCAGGCCTTTTCTTCATTGCTTATAGCATTTGGTTTATTGTATAATCCTTTCCCCTGTTTTCTGGGGTGTTATTGTATCTCAGGCATTACATCTGCAGTTGGTTTTACAATGAGCCCGAAGGCAGAGTGATGTGTAGTACTGCACTCTATTTATTAAGTTCAAACAATGTCTTTGAATGTTTGCTTGTGTCTTCGCCGCATATCTATCCCTTTATGCTCTATACATTAATGCAAAAAATTACCTGTTGAGTTTTGTAAATGTGTTGATTTTGTATGGTTTTTTCCCTGCAGAGTATGAATAGAACTGTGGTTATGAAATCTTCTTTTCATTTGATGTGCCATTTATTTGATCATTTATCCTGACTGAGAATGACATCTATTGATGACAGGCCAGACAATAACAAATATGGATAGAAAAACCTGGGAGAGAGAGAGAGAGGGGGAGAGAGAGAGAGAGATGTAACATATTTGCAAGATATTATATAAACTTGGATTCATGAAGATCAATAAAAAAAAAAAACGTTGAGAAGCGGGTTGAGAAGGCACTTGACATGTTTTACTTGAAGTCAGGCATTAATTTTTAAAGGTGCCAACATGTGAGAAGGTTGCAGTTTAGTTTGGACCTTGACATCAGCTCTTGAAATACTAAAGAGTTTCAACAGTCACATTAAAACAGTTACTAAATCAGCTTACTATCACCTAAAGAACATATCTAGGATTAAAAGACTATGTCACATCAGGATTTGGAAAAACTTGTCCATGCTTTTATCTTCAGTAGACTGGATTACTGTAATGGTGTCTTCACAGGTCTCACTAAAAATATATATTAGAAAGCTGCAGCTAATTCAGAACGCCGCTGCTCGAGTCCTCACTGACACTAAGAAAGTGGATCACATCACTCCTGTTCTGAAGTCTTTACACTGGCTTCCTGTGTGTCAAAGAATAGATTTCAAAATACTGCTGCTGGTTTATAAAGCTTTGAATGGTTTAGGCCCAAAATACATTTCTGACCTCCTGCTAAATTATGAACCATCCAGATCTCTCAGGTCTTCAGGGACTGGTCAGCTTTCTGTCCCCAGAGTCAGAACTAAACATGGTAAAGCAGCGTTTAGTTATTATGCTCCAAATATCTGGAACAAACTCCCAGAAAACTGCAGGTCCGCTGCAACTCTGACTACTTTTAAATCCAGGCTGAAGACTTTTCTTTTTGTCGCTGCTTTTAATTGAACTATTCATATCTTAGACTGCACTGTAACTTTTATCCATGTATTTTTTATTTTAATATTTATTTTATTAACTTTTCTTTTTAATGACTGATTTTAAATGTCTCATTTTTTGTAAAGCACTTTGAATTGCCTTGTGTTGAAAGGTGCTAAATAAATAAATTTGCCTTGCCTTGCCTTGCCTTGCCTTGCCTTGCCTTGCCTAAAGTGTCTGCCCCAAGCTATGATTTTAACAAAAAGCATAAATAGTTTTGATGTCATAATTACTGCCGACCATTGAGCCGAAACATAGTCAACAACACATTGTCCTATCTTATACTACATTATATGGTACTACACACTCTGCTCTAACAAAACCATACTTCATACAGGGGAATACACCCAGATGGATGCAACAATATGGAAGTCAGCGAGCCCTTCAAGTTTGAGAGTTGCTGATGTACATGTATTATATGTACCTTTTGTATTCAAAAGGAAACCATATTTGCCCCAAATTTACCAAAACAGCTTTATGATAATAAACAACAACAAAGAAGAAACAAATGCTGTTGAACATGTATGATAAATAAATCCCAAGTCTACTACAAATGAACAGCCCCAAAGGCCATGCTGCTGACACATCGGATTGATCTGATTAGTTCCTGAGAAGTGATGCACATGAGATCAGTCTAACTGGAGTCAGAATGCTCCTTCAATGACGCTAACCGGGACTAATAAAGGGAAGAACGTAGAATAAAGGTTCTCCCTAAGGCATTCCTGACAATTCCTGGTAAGAAAGTATACATATGTGTCTCTGTTGGCATGTATGTGTATGGATTCAATAGGAGGCATTGCTAGCAAGAAGCTGCTTTGTTGTGCAGAGTTTGGCAGCTTCAAAGGTGCCCTTTTGTGTCCCCTCTTACCATCATGTCTCTACATGCTTCCCCTCTCATTCTCTGCTGTTCTCTTCTCTAGTTGTGGGCTAAAATATGTTCTCTTTTTTTTAAAGAACCTACTAGAACTGGGGAATCAAAATCTGAAAATGTGCTATTTTGTAGCTGGAACTATTTAAAATCAATGTTGCTGTGTTAGATATTACAATGTAGTTGTCCTAACTTACAGGTATTATACACTAGTCTTGAATTGTTTCATAACTACTAGCAGACCCTCTATGTTGGCTTACTTGCTGTGTTCCTTCTTTGATTGACTGAGTCACTGCATTTCTGGATGTCTACATAACGGATGGGTTCATTAGATATCTGGCTGCAGGCTGGCAGCCCGGT